GAATCACTAACCTATCTGACTGGTTCCAGAGACTGACGCACTCATGGTAATGAGGTCTGGAAAGTATTCAGGAAGTGGCACAGTGAAATGAATACATGCGTCTTCACTAAATATTTGGTTCCAGAAGCTTGGTGATGTGGTGACTACTCTCGGGGCTAGCTGGTGGACTGATGTAGCTGGGGAGCTAACAGCTAACACACCAGCCAGTCCGGCAACGTATCCTCATACAACGTATCGTATGATATCCCACAAAAAGTTATACCTGATTTTTTTTGTGCGCTTACCTGCCTGCAACGAGTATTTCCGCTTGTTACATTCAATTCAATTTATTTTTGTATAGACCAAAATCACAAATTTGCCTCAGAGGGCTTTACAATCTCTACACATGAGACATCCTCTGTCCCAGGACACTCACATCAGAACAGGAACAACTCCCCCAAAAAACCCTTTAACGGGGAGAAAAGAGGAAGAGACCTTAGGGAGGGAAGTACATGCATATGCCTTTTTCAAATAAACTTCCGTCTTCACAGGAAATTCTGTTTTTCACAAGAAAACTACTTAGTTAGGTAAGGAAAGGATGGTCGTTTGGGTTATAATAGCCACAGAAGTGGCGTTACAGAAGTACTCAAGTTGCGTGACAAAAGCATCAATGTTGACTTCAAGTTTCACACGATGAACCAACAGCACTCTCCTGGCTGAAAGATGGCTGCTTGCTGGACCCATCCACCTCAGCAGTCTTTATACTTCCTCTTTCAAGATTACGTGGATAACATCTGAAAACATTTTGTGGGATAGCTGCGCAATATTTTTCGTAAGTTAATGCTACGAATGCTGGATGACACATCGGGACATACCAGCGATAGCCAATCACAACAGCTCCCTGAGTTTTTATCTGTTTTCTCTGTACTTTACTCCCCCTTGATGTTTTGTTCTCAGGGTTGAGCATCACTTTGTTCAATAATTGATACTATAATAGTGGACGGTTATTTAAAAAGTGGATGTTGCGACGTAGCTAATAAACCAATCGCTTCTTCCATTTTGGACTCGGCAGCTTTTCATTAATGTTGCACGGTGTATCGATACTAAAAAGGTACCGCGGTACCCGTACATTAAAAAAACGATACAATTTTGCATATTTTTAGTATCGATACTTCATTAAAATAGGCGCGATCAGAGCGCCATTGACTGCAAGGGGGCGGGGCTGCCCAGCGCTCACACAGCAACAGGCAGCGCTCACTCACAGCGAGTGATAGCAGGGGAGACATGCATCAAGGTCCGTGTACGTTTTGATAGTCTGTTTTACCGTTCAGTCAAAAAAACGACAATACGGAAATATTCTCGTTTTTCGTTTCAAACCAAAAACGGAAAAACGGAAATGGGGGTCCGTGTACGGTCCCCACTGACATACAGAGACCCGTCTGCGAAACGTGTTTCAAAGCCACACAGACAGGGAGGCAACACGTCTAACATGGCAAAGCACCTTTCAGACAGACACCCCGAACTTTTCAAAGAACGACAGGTAAGCAAATGTGATTATAAACATGAACACCCCCAAGCTCACCTATATACAGCTAACACAAGTACCTTAGCCTAGTTTGACGACAAACCTATATGATGATGAGGTCACAATGCACACAAAAGTGTACTAAATGAAACACAATTGATGCAAAATGGCTACATGCTGGTGGAGCCTGAGGGTGGATCTTGAGCTAATTCTTTTTATTTTTAGTTAAGGAAAAATAATTATTCCATGAATTAAGATAAAATATGAAGTGAAAATATCAAACTCACTATGCAAGTAAATGAAGCATTGTTTATCCACCCACTCCCACAGACAGTCAGACAGATGCCAGCAGCAACACAGAGACAGAGTTCCCTTAAGCTGTGTTTGAAAGCCAGCGGAAATATGAGAGAGGCTCAAAAGATACGAAGAGGTTAAACATTAATATTAATGCCATTTGTTAAGTCTTCAAAAAGCTGGGCAGGAACAAGCTGGTAAAAAAGGGAACCGTACAGATGTTTTATTTATTACCATTATAGATAAATATACCAGTATCTTATCGTATTTGTGGTATTGTATCGAATTCTGGTATCGTAAGTATCGGGTATCGTGATACTTATGGCAGGTATCGTATCGAAGTCATAATTTTGGTATCGTGACGACCCTACTTTTCATTGCCTAAAGCCTCAGACTAGGTACCGGTCACACGCTCATGATTCCATTCATACTACCATTGAGTGTCCACGTAGGGCTGGCGTTCCAGTCGGTAGCAGAAGGCACCATAAAGACAAATTATGTGAATGTGGGTAACGGAGGATCTCTTCACATAACCTCTCTTCAAAACAAGCATCCACTTTGTCATTTGCTTCTTCTTCTTGGCTAAACCAGCAAGAGGTGCATACGCCACCAACCGGACTGGAGCGTGGAGCAAAACTAGGCCATGTGCAGTTGGCGGGCATGTGATGTGTACAGTCCGCGAGGGCTTGCACGTGGACGGACCCTCATACGAAAAGCATGAACCGGCCTAAATGTTGGCCAAATGTCAGAGGTCAAAGGTCACCAAAGTTGAGCTCAGGGTGAATAGATCCATACAGATATACAAGCAAATCGACTGATTGTGGAGATAACATTGGAATTTGGTAGAAAGGAGGGAGGAGAGGCCCTGTAAACGTCTCAGTAATGAAGGCGTTCCATCTCCAGCAGTCACATGAAGGTGGACCTGATTTAACATCTCACTGGCCTCTGGCACACATATGGCTAAACAAACAAACACACACCAGTTTAGGTAAGAGTGAAGGATAAATCCACTGCTGCACTGAAACCATTCACTAAATGCAGGACTCAATATTAACGCTTGTCCGCCGCAAGTAAACTCTGCGTCCGGGCAACTGGAATGCCTCATGCAGTCGTCCTATCAGGCCAAAGTGTCTGTGTCAATTATGCAGACAGCAGGATGTCTCCGAAAACCAACCTCCTCTGAGCTCAATATACCCTCCAACAGTCCCTCACCACACCACCCTCAGCCAACCCCTTACAGCCGTTCAGCCACTCCCCCAACACCACCAAGATCCATTGGGGGCCTTTTGCTGAGCCCCCTTTCATACACTCCTCTCGCAGTGCCTCTTTTGGCTCTAAAGAGACAGCCTGCTAGATTTTAATTTGCCAAAAATATGAATAATAAATGAAACACAAGCCTCTAGCTAGAGTCTAGCTCAACCAACTGGTCTGTTATACTCTTGGGACACCAAACCTTCTACTACTACTACTACTACTACTACTACTACTACTACTACTACTACTACTACTACTACTACTAAATGGACAGATGCTGTTCATTTAGCACTCGAGTGGCAATCATCAAGCTTGTCTCCTAAATGCCCAGGGGGAGTCACAGTATTAAATAAAGCCACACTGCAGACCTCACAACATTGTCACTCGGATGTAAAGCAGACAATTGAGTAGATCTGTGCTGGGGAAGACTTTTCTTACTAGTCAGACCTGTAGGAGCTAGTGTCGACCTGCGAGCAACTAAATTCCTGTCCAAGCAAACACTTCTAGGTACAGTCATCCAATTTATGCAATAGCAGATTAGGATCAATGTAGTATTGCTTCGTTGTCATTTGTATTGATTGATATCTTGCAATTATGTAAAAGATGAAGACTTGTGATGCTTAGCTTTGTTTAGGACCAGATAGCATCAATCTCATTCCCAATGCATTGGTATTAACAATGAAATAATGGATCTGTCAAGGGAAGCGGGTCTTTCCCCTGCTAGCCTGCCGTTGTGTGCATGTGTGGGTATTTGTATTTGTGCATTATTGTCAGTGTGAGCACCCAGAGCCAGAGCCTCAGGGGCACACAATGTCACAAGCATCAGGACAAACAGCAGCTTAGAGAGGTGCTGGGCTGCTGCAGACACAATATTCATGTTACATAATGACAGCCAAACACTGGCCAAAAATGTCAGTGTTTCCGGATTAAGGGCTGCCTCAGCCCTCACTAGTGCTCATTTCCATCCTTCACAGTTCTCTCAGGATGTTTGTGAATGGCCGATGGATAACATGTGACCGATGTGATCATTGAAGCTGCTTGCTTTGACCTCATATATGCTGCTGCTGCCCCGTCCTTGTAAATCGTAATCAAAATGATAATGATAAAGTTTATACTGGGTGGAGGATTTTTTTTCCTCTCATGAAACAGAATTTATTTCCCTTGCCAAACGGACCGTGGCAAGTTATCAGCCCATGTGCTAGCTAAACGAGGCTTAGTGTCCTCCTGTTCCATCAGGGCATTTTCATCCCAGCTCGAAGCTTTCAGCCGTGTATTTAGGTCTTAACACAGGGACATTGATTTCTGGTCCCACGCCATGCATTTCAAAGCAGACATGAATGCTCTTCCACAACCGAAAGGCAACAATGATAATCGGCGAAAGACCCCAAAAAAAATCTATTTGCTTGAGCCCCCTTCTAAAAGCTATTAAGATAAGTCCTCTTCCTTAAGGACCACAAGGCCAGTGACCTAAATCAGTACAGATTCAAATGATGGGGTAGCATGAGACTGAAAAGGCCACTTAAGGATACTGTGTGTGTGTACTGTGTGTGCATATGTGTGTCATAATCACCCTAATCAAGACATTACAGTGAGGTTAAGCCAAGACCCCCCATGTTAATCCTTTTACAGTGATTTTGATCAGCATATGTTGTCAGTGCAATCACATCCTAACTGTATCATCTATGAGGAGTGAAACCAAGAAGAGGAATAGAGCTGTAATACTCCATACGTGTCTTTTGAGAGCTCAATCACACGGAAGTAGAAGAAATCAACAATTCCAAAAGGTCTTAAAAGACCAACACATTGTGTATCTTATGTGGAGCTCTTGGCATTTCACCAATGTTTAATGTCAGGCCTGACTGGTTGGCATCTAGTGGGCCCATGTCTCCCTGCAGGTCACTATGACAGGCTGTGTGTTTCCACATGTGGGGGGAGTGTGTGTACTCACCATTAAGTCCATTGGGGATGCTCCTGTGATGGTGCGGTGCTGACAGGTCATCCATGGACCTCCTCATGGTGGTGCCCAACTTACTGTTCTCTGGGGCGGGCTTGTGCATGTGGTTGTGGTGGTCGGGGCTACCAGCACTACCTGCGCTGGACGTGCTACTCCCGTCCCCAACATCCCTGACCGTGCCCGTGCCACCGTTCAGGTTGGTTAAACTGGACTGACTGTCTATGGAGCTCCTGGACCCCGCTCCATTCCTCTCCTCGTCCAGCATGAGGATGATCTCCTTCAGCTCAGAGTTCTCCCTCAGCACGGTGTCCTGGTTGGCCTCCAGCTCCTTCAGCTTCATCATGTAGGTGCCCACCTCCTTCCACATGGCACTGGCAGTGTAACGGCCAAAGCGTTGCCACTCGCGGGACAACTTCTTGCCCTTCTGTCGGTCGTCGTCCAGGAAGCAGCAGAGCTCCCGGAGCTCATGGTTGTCGTCTTGCAGCTTCTGGTTGATCTCCTTCAGGCTGCGGATTTCGTGCAGGTGCACCTGCAGCCGCCGGTTGATGTCTTTCATCATGTTGCCATGCTCAATCATCAAGTTCATTTTCTCGCTGTCCACCCTCCTTAATCTCCGCACCAGCTCCTCTTTGCTGCACCGCAGCGTCTCCTCGTCCGTTAGCTGGCTCACTTCTTCCTTCGCTCCTTCGGACGGGTTTTTAGCCATGACTAGCTGCGAGTCTGTTTGTGTGAACGGTGGCCTGAAAATAACTGTCAAAACTAATTTAACCAAGCCTGGGCTGCGGGACTGTATTCAAATACGAGTACATTGTCCAAAATAGTTAAGTGTCGTTATGCGCTCCTCTTCAACAGGCAGATAATGAAAAAGAAAATATGAATATGATGCTATCGCAACCCGTGCATGAACTGAACGTCCTCACCTATCTTTTGAAGGAAAAGCCTTGATGTATTTCGGAAACAACTCCTGGTACTCACATTGATAGTACTCACACATGAGAAGCTCAGGATTTTAAATCGATTACCGGGGATTTTCAATCAGGTCCTGGTCCCGTCAGCACAACACACATCCCATCGCAATGTGCGCCGCCTCCTCTGGACATCGCTCCATTCAAACGATGATTAACAGAAACCTAACAAATGAATAATTCACTGTTAGCTAAACCCTAACTTGAGCTAAAAGGTGAAACGTTGCGTAAACAAAATGTTGAATGGCCGCGCTGCTCTCTTTAACGTGTTATAGCTCGGATAAGCCTCTTTACCGAGGCGGTGTGCTGGTTCAAGCCCTTCCACTCAGCCAGCTTGGAATTAGCAGCGGACCCCCTCCTTCTTGTGCAAATACTCGGGTTTGAAATCATTCAAGAGGATTCCGGCCAAGACGGCCAATCAAGACGTGGGAGAGGAGCAGGCGGCAGGTAGATGAGCTCACGAGGCTCAGCCCTCTTAAAGGGACAGTACGACGAGGAGCGACGAAAACTGTTTCCATTCAAAACGAGAGACCCAACAGAGCGCTGCACTTTTATTTAGCTTTTCATTAACACACATTTTAACTATGTGACATTCATCGGTAAGCGCTAGTTTATTTTTTTTCCATTGTTTATGACCATGTGTTGGTCATAAACAAACCATGTGTTGGGCCAATTACCACAGTAATTGCCCCAATTAGTAATTGTTTCAATATTAAAATGGGCTTTAACCGCCATTGTATGTATGTATATACACACATTATATATATATATATATATATATATATATATATATTTATTTATTTATATATTTATTTATTTATATATATATTTATTTATATATATATATTTATTTATTTATTTATATTAATTCCTGAGAATTAACAACTTTTTAGTGTTAATTCTCAGGAAACTGGTTTAACAGGTGCTTTTGAAATTTCTTTGCAATGTCACAGCGCCCCCATATGTACACTGTCAGTAACAGAGAAAAAGGCAGCTTGAGTACATAAAAGAATCACTGCATAGCAAACTGAACATGAACTAAAATCAGATTCTCATGCATTGAATGAATCAACATCACTTTATTTAGGTGAAAAACAAAGCAGATAATACATTTTGTTACACTTATATAACGGGTTAGTTCCACCAAGATTAAACTGCTGATGATACTCAAGAAGTAGTTATTTTGTTTTCCCATATCCTCCTTATCGTGGATATACTGTTTATAACAATAAAACAAGCACAGCTGATACTTTTATCTTTATAAAGGCTAAATAAACAATTAGGAATGAAAGAACTCTGCAGCATAAGAGGCTTTTGGCTGAGGCAGGAGACGCTGTAGGCAGTGGGCTAGTCTAAGCAACCAAAGAACCCAATTTCACCGCATGGGCCATTTTATGGATTCTGCTTATATTATATGGTAATGGTATGTGACCACCTATTTATCACGATTCCTGTGTCTGACAGAACACACCACTGCACTCTTTGGCCTGAGTGTGCCGCAGTCTTCCAGGTCAAAGTTCTGTCCAGGCAAAAGGGTGAAGTCAAACCTCTGGAGCAGCTTGGCCATAACCACTTTAGCTTCCATCTGCAATAGCCCCACAGACCATTGAGTTAGTTGCATGTGTTGTTATGTTTTGTGTGTGTTGATCATTTATGGCCGTCACCACCCACCTGAGCAAAGTTCTTCCCCAGGCATGAGCGTGGACCGAGGGCAAAGGGGAAGTAGCAGTAATAAGGCCTTGTAAAACAGATAAGAGACAGCCTCCATTAATGCACACCATATTCCTTCTTTTAACTGGGACAATGATCAGTGGTCTGACCTGTTATGACTAAAAATAAAACATGGCATTATGTGAAAATTGTATGCCTCTTACCTGGGAGCATCTGGGTGAAATCTGTCTGGATCAAATGTCAGCGGGTCCTTGAAGAATTTATCCATTCTCCCAGTCGCATAGGAACTGAACTGAATTTCAGTAGAATAAATTGAACATCTTGACAGCAGGTACTTTTTGTTATGCTTTATCAGTATTCTTCATGTATATAAAGTTGAAACTAATTATATACCTTTTTAGGTTCTGACACACAATTCCTATTTTATGGGTAGAAACCAACTCAAAAGTGCACGACTCACAAAACACGTGACTCCCCCAGGTATGTGGATACCGTCAATGACAATGTCTTCCTGTATTTCCCGAGATGTTCCTGGAGCCGTTGGGTAGATCCTCAGAGTCTCTTTAAGCACCTGGGGGGGGAGGTTACAGCGGGAGATGCACATCTTGGGTAAATTGCTTTAAAAATGTTGATTTGAGCACATCAAAGCAGAATTGCAGAGAAGAGTTCTTGGTTTAGACTGATATATAATTTAAATATTTAGGCTAACTTGAGAGTCGGCAAATTAATAAATGAATGAATAACTGAGTAAGCTGCACAATGGATTCACAACATGCTTCACTTCTAAAGAGCTAAACCATAATGTTCCTATCATGAGATGTACCTGTGAGAGGTAGATCAGCTTCCCCAGATCGTCACAAGTGATGTCCTGTTTCATCCCAATGACATCATCCACCTCTTTCCTCACTCTGACAAATAAAAACACAACTGAAGTAACCATCATTCAAAGCTACATTATTGAACTGTTTCACACTGCATTGTTAGTTCTTACTTCTCCAGTATATCAGGAAGTCTTGCAAGTACCATGATGCAAAAAGCCAGTTGATTAGCTGTTGTTTCGTGGCCTAAATGACAGAACATTACCTTCAAATGGAGCAAATGTGGATAAACAACACATTCCTCTTTATTTTTAAACCAAAAAGTGGGGCTTCAAAGAACAGTTCACCTAAAAACACAATAAATAAAGGACTCAAATATAAGTGGTAATAATAATAACAGCACACAGACATGAGACAGAACATTTTTACAAAAGAGCATATTAATTATTGTAAATAACTATGTCAATATACTTGAAAAGTAATATTAAACTCAACATCTCCAGAATTCACATCTATACTGGTGGATAGTTTGTATTCTGCGTGAAAGGAAAATGTGTTTTATTTGAATTTTGTTTCCCTTTAACAGTGTTAGCTTGTGCTACAAAGGAGCACAACATCGAGCTTATTTTGGAGCAATTCACACCTCAAAGCAGAAACAACACAGACTTACCCGCGATGAAAAATGTCACAAAATTATCCAACATTAACTCTTCATCTTCTTCAGTCATGCTTTCCTCTGGAATAACAAGGAAATAGAGTTGAACAACTAAACCAATATTCCAGTCATCTGAATATATCATTTGTATATACGTAAACATATTCTATCTACTGTATGTGATTGTGAACAGGCCGAGCTTAACCTTGCAGATCTGCTCTGCAGATCTCATAATATTTAAAATCAGTGATGCAAATGTTGAGATGATGATGCTTGTAGTTGTTTTGTTTTGATATACTATTCTCCTCAGTTTAAAGTAAATACTTATCTATGCCCTGTAAACTAGTGTTTGCTACTGTCATAACTGAGGAATGTTTAATCAGTCAATCAATCTGAACTTTAGGGCGGGACCATAACCTTTGCCAGCTGTTTTGATGATCTGTGTGAGGATGTCGTTGGGAACGTCATCGCCGTTTTCCATTGCAGTCTTTCTGTCCTGAATCCACTGAGCTCCAGTTGTGCGCAGCAGGTGGCACGCTTCCCTCACCTCTTTAATGAATGCTCTGTTCTTTGGGTTGAACTGGAAATGTGAGATTTAAGGATCTGTCACAGTTAATAATATTGTCACCACACTAACTCTATACAGATTTGCTGTGAAGTCTTACCTTGTAAAAGCTGTCTCTGACAGTGACGAGCATCCCTTTCAGACATGTCTGGACGGCTTTAGGGAAACGTGACCTATCCTTCAGCTGCTCTAAATCCACACCAAAAGCAACCTGAGGGTTATCAGGAAAACAAAGTTGATTGGATGTTTTTTTATCATAAGCTGGTGCTCTTGTCACATGCAAGAAAAACGTTTGGGAACACACTACAAGAGACATAGCAACATTCTACAAGTCATTTTCAATGGAAGCCAGTGAAATGAAGCTACATACTGACAGCCAACACGCACAATGTTGCTGGCCACGCTTAGCTGTTTTGTTGCTTTTGTTGCTTACAATGTAAACATAGGATAAGGTACAATACCTTAGCAATGACATCAAGGGTAAGAAAGTTGACTAGGTGGAGCATGCTGGCCTCTGTCTGGTTATCAGCGACATCCGAAAGTGTAGTCATCAGTTTCTCTGCCCTCTCATTGAAAGTGCCTATTAGACCTCTCAAATACCTGGAAGTAAGGGTCGTTTGAGACAGTGGACTTTAAAGCTCCACAGAAATTCTGCAAATGGACAATGTTGTCCAAAAGAAACAAAACAAAAAATACCCACAATCTGAACAGAATTTTACAAAGATCGCAAACACTGGATATCAAATAAACGTTGAGCCGATACTCTGTTGTGACTCTTTGTGATGACTGAATCACTCACAAACTGCTGAATGCCGGGTCCATGATCCGGCGCTGTTTATACCACTGTTCATGGTCCTGTGCTGTAACCAGGCCCTTACCTAGGAACCTTGAAAAGAGACATGGAACACAATACTTTCTACTTAGAAAAACAAGGCTGCAGAGGACTTGACATTCAAGTGAACCAACAAAGTCACTTCCTGGGACTCCAAAGTGGACCGACAATACTCATGTACCAACAACATTAGTTGTTGTCAGTTCAGGAATTCAACATTTTGACAGTGTAACAAATATACACTTATTGTTATTATTCATTGTTTTATTGTTCGTAGGCCAAACAACTTGTAAGACATATGAAGTATGAAAAGTATAACTAATCTATCGTCGGATAAAATACCTTTGACCAAACAGGTTGAAGATTTGGCTGTAGAAGAATCTATCTTTGGGATACTTTGGGGACATCAGGACCTCCTGAAACAGAGCCATCAAAGGAGGGAACATTATTTTTTTTATTGCAAACATTATCATGATGTATTCCTATCTTTACATTAGCAAAAAGGATAACAGATGGCGCTGCCATTTTTAAAATTTTGCAAGGGTTTCTTCCAAAGCAGTACTAGCTGTGTATGTGTGCACTTTTATACCGCTTATTGTTCAATGCTTATGCAACTGGTGGTTACACGAATACTATTGAAAGGTGTGGGTGTTTACCTTTGTTCCCTCTGGGCAGGTCACAAGGAGTACAACGTAATGCAGGAAATTTTGCCTGCAAACAGGCCCATGGTTCTCAGCCCTGTAAATGACATCTTAATTATGGGTTGCTATCATGAAGGTAAATATGCTGCAAAAAGCAAGAGCTTGTGGACTTGATGGGAGAACCTTTAGAACAAAAATCTAAACTTTTGTTTCAATTTTCACCTTTATAAAATGTTCACACACAATTTGAATTTAAAGTGACAGAAAAAGAAAACATGAGAGCTTGTAGAAAAAATGTGAATTTGTATGTTTTTCACATTTTCACAGAAGTCATTCACCCACGCGTTCTGAATGTGAAGTTTTTGAGCACAAATTTCCTACATTTGAGATACCAAGAAAAACATTATATTGTACATTATATGAAATCCAATGCTCATAGAATAAAAAATGAGTAAAACCCTTTCCTTCGTAGGTTGACACTTCTAATGGATTCCAATGGCCTATTACCATACTCCATACAAAGGTTCAAATGGTTTTACTCTACAGCTTTTGTGAAATTTAAAGGGAAAGTAAGTCACCTCGAATGACATTATGACTTACTATTAATTCAATTATACATGGTTATCCTCAACAGGACTACATTGAGATAATTCAGATAATCTATGAAGGATTGTTTCAAATGATAGTTCTTTGGAATCAGACCAGGCGGCAACCTCCGCTTCTAAAAACTGAAGTGCCTTGAACTTGCAGTATCCAGGCGACTCCTCTGGTTGTATAGAAGTCTATGAGAAAATGACTCTACTTCTCTCTTGATTTATTACCTCAGTAAACATTGTAAACATGAGTTTATGGTCTCAATCTCTAGTTTCAAGTCTTCTTCAATACAGCATGATGATCATTTAGTAAACTATGGTCCATTTAGAGTTGATTACACTTTTGTGGCTGTCCTTGAATTTATTTAAATATCATACATATGTGGATACAAGTCCTTTTTTTCTACAAGCTCTCATTTTTTTTATTTGACTTCAAATTCAGCCCCCGTGTGTGAACATTTGATACAAAGTTCAAAGTTTAAAGTTTTGTTTTTAAATTGTCACATTAAGTCGACATGCTATTGCGTTTTGCAACATATTATAACATCGCGGAAATAACGACAACTTAGACACATAGAAGAACAGCAAACACATCGGAATTAGTTTACAAACGGAAATGATTATGTTATATCACTTATATCTATCGCATATGTATAAAATATTGCTCAGCTTAACGTTACCATTCCAGGAATTTGTCGTGTATAATTTCTCCACTCCTCATTGCCCTCACATACGTCGCTGCATGTCCGAAGAGAAAACTGTCGGGAGAAAAAACAAAAGGGGAAAGTTATGTCAAAACAATAGTTTAGCTAATGTTAGCTTGCTAATGTAGGTTAGGTGAAAACAAGTAACGTTAGCGTTAGCATTAACTTAGCTAACATTTAATAATGCCCAACTTCACTTGCCTGTCTCTCGGTGGCCCAGGTATGTGGTCATATTTCATATGAATGTGATTAACATACAAGCAGTAACCAAGAAACAATATGAACATCAGAAAGAGCAGAAACATAGTAGTCCAGCTCAAAATCTCGAGGAAAATTGCCATTTTGGTAAGTTAAGTCAAGTCCGGTAAGTCGGTTAGCTAGTCCAAAGCATATACTGTATTCAAAGACAGTCGTTCGTCAAATCTTTTGTCACATGTCAAAGTCCAATGTGTACCCACAATGCACCAGCACGGGCTCCATAGCTCAGTGGTTAGAGCACTGGTCTTGTAAACCAGGGGTCGCGAGTTCGATCCTCGCTGGGGCCTGACTGGTTGAATGTTTTACAGTGAATTAACCGCAACCTCGATTGTTCCATGTTTTCGTTACTAACGTTGTGTTACAGGGCACATCTCAAGTCTCTTAATTGTACCTCCGTTTCCCTCACGTGCGTCCTTTCCTTACTTCTTAGTCCCTCCCACCAGGGATGTAAAGAAAGCATGCGAGGAAAGAGGAACTATTTTTTACGAGGTATGAGACGTTCTTTCCTCAGTTGCGTCACGTGAAGCGACGTCTGTTTCTGATGACGGCAGCCGCTGATCACAGCTGGATCAGCTGTCAGTCGGCTTTAACAGCTGGAGAGACTTTTGATAGTTTGTGTCTGTACACATGATCACTGTACTTAATAATAGCAAATAATAATACTAATAACTAATAAATACACACAATCATCACTGTGGAGGTGTGTTCTCTATGTAGCCTGTTACCTCTTTAATAAACGGTGTCCTGTTTAAAAGTGCAGGATTGATTTCTACCTGCGGAATGTGTTCGTCTTATTTATTCATTATTTGCGTCTGTACGTTTTGAAATTGTGATTGTGACGTCATTATTAAATAACCCAGAATATGATTATGGTTTCTCTTGAACACTGGAATTCATTTATTAGGCTCCATGTCTCAGGTTAAACTTAAATGATATAACTCATCAAACCAGACACTCAGGAATGATCAGCCTCACATGACTGAATGAAATGATGATAAATGATGTAAAAAGCTCTCTCCTTTAATTGTTTCCATAATAAAAGTTATTGAGGGACATATGAGATCATGAAAAGACAAATCTTTCTAATAAATGAAGAAAGTTGTTTGTGGTTGTTGTTCAGACTACAATGAACATATATTTAACCCAGACGGTGAACCAGAAAACTAATCAAATATAAACTAGAGTTTAATCTGATCTGTCTTCACTGTCCTGGCTCGGAGATCGAGGAGCAAGGAAACGACAATTAAGAGACTTGGGATGTACCCATAGTGTCCTAGCAGCCTTGATACCAGCTAAAAAAAAATGCTGCTTTTTTTTATTACTGACAGCCAACAATATGGTGAATAATTCTTATTGGCAAATTAGCTTTACACCTTCTGTAAAAGCAGTTACAGGTTTTCATTAGGTTACTCATTAGCTAGATAACATTAGCTGTAGCCTGTTTGCCTTATATCCAAAATGTTACAGCAAATCTGCCAAGTCTGCCACTAGGACATAGGGTATAGGGTAAAAATGACATCATTATTCTATAACATTTTAAACTCATAAAAAACTGTTCATACTGTCAATTAGCCCTAAGCAAAAAGATAGATCTGTGATCCAGAGGAGTTTATATATGTTGTACATAACAAGTTGTAATAAATGTTAGCACTTGCAAGAGAAGGTAAATGCATCAGGAATGAGTTTGTCTTTTAGTAAGACTTTAGGAACACTGCAGGTTCCAGTAGCCTACAGACAAGTTCCCAAACGGATTAGTTATTGAGACAATGTCTTACAAATGTGTCTTTTTGGTGGGTTAGGTAGCTATTTAAAGTGGCTGTTGGGATCTTTATCATATCATTAATCAATTTTTCGAAGATAAAATAGTAGGGTACACAATGTCAGTTGTGTACACAACAAACACATCAAAGAAATCTCTGTAGTTATGCAACAGCCCTAAATAAACTGAGCTATATGCTTTACTTAATAACATATAATAGGTTTATGTATCATGCACCCACTGCACCTTGTAAACGTCAGTTCACAATGAACATAGCGCTGAGGTAAGTTTTGAGTTTTCACAACTTTAAAACTTTGAACCACATTGTACTGCCTCCCACCTCAGAGTTCACCCCTCACCAATCAGTTTCAGCACGAAAGGACAAGGGGAATCCTCCGTGGTTGAAAATAGTTCCAATGTTGCCAATCGGAGCATAGAACTACGTAGATAGATGCACTTCACACATCAGATCCTCCACATCACCTCAGCCGGCGAAGCGGGAAATCCTCTCTTTATACAATTACACTCATCTCCAGAGGCACTGAAATAACAGTAATTGTTTGAGTCAACACGGAATCTCACATAGGATGAATAAAGAGATGCGTACAGAAGTGATAGGCTAAGTGATGCAGATGGACATTGTGAATCAAATGAGCACTTATGTTTGCTTGTGTAAATATCTTGGTTCATCATTAAACACATTCTGCAGTGCTAAAAGGCTTTGACAATGTTAGCATGAAACGAACAACATCAGATTTAGAGTTGTGTATTTTTTCAAAAAACAGCATAAACTGATTGCATCTGATGCGTGCCCTGTTTCCCCCTGACGCACTAGCCTGTACAGAATCCTATTTGTAGGAGGAAATACATTGATCCATATAATACAATGATATTTCTGACTGATTCTAGCTCATTTGGGACTCTTAATGTCAGTACAGTCTTCTTGGTGATCAAATACTGCTCTCATTTTAACAGGTAAACCCCGAAAAGCTCAACATGTCCTCTTCTTAAACTTATACACGCACCTACTTAAAATCTTTAGTCTTACACAAAGACAAAGTTATGAACAGAAGACTAATCTGAGCTTCATCTCAGCCTGTGTGTGCTGACAGATACTATAGGAGTGTGTTCACATGGTAAACCAGGCTGTCAATAGCTTTTCAGAGTCACAGAATTACCAACATTTTTCAGTCCACTTATTTCAAGCCGAACACGGGGATGCTGAAAGTAAAACAGGATTTCTAGGACAAATCAGGAGTTTGTGTTCATGCTGATGTATTGCTGATGTTGTCTCTATTTAACCCTGCAGATCAGCTGATGATACATTTAAGCAAAAAAGTATTAGTTGATTGATTGGTAAATGGCAACATTTTTGATAATCCATTAATCGTTTATGAATTGTTTAAGCAAAATACCGCAAATTCACTTGTACCAACTTCTAACATGTCTTCTGTGACGATCATCAAAATATCTTTTGATTTTGTACCGTAGCTCGAACAGAACATTTGAAAATGGGCTTTGGGAAAATGTGATATTTTACTATCTTGTATTTTATTAAACAATTAATCAATTCATCAATAATTGTGAAAATGATCTGCAGATTAATTGCTCATGAAAATAATTTAGCTACAACCTAACAACAAATGTGATGCTAGAATGAAAATGGCTTTAATGGTGGCTATCTATTTAGAAGCTTACCTTTAAATGCAACTGGTGAATAACAGGTACATTTTTTATCAAATAAATTTTGCCAATTGTCTCAAATATGGAGTAATGTTATTCTGAATAAGAATAACAAAGCTTTGAGATCTCACAGTGTTGTAGTTTTAGATGTATAGAATAGCTGCAGGTCCAGTGCTCCACGAGCTCTACTTGTACTTAGTTGTGGTGACCAGCAGGGGGTGCTCGATGTCAGTTTCTTCAATGTTCAGTATTCTCCCATGCCTGCTTTTTCTTTGCGAACATGACTAGTGACGAGTGTCAAACAGGCCTGTGTAGTGCACATTTACACGAGAATTCTGTCCATTTTAGTTTCCATCATTCCTGCAAGACAACATCTCACATTGTGATCTAACGTATCTGAGAAACCTCATCTGACCTTAAGTACCACTTTCTTCTTACTTGTTTGCTACAATCCATTCACTTCTACCACTATGGCCACTTCATACCTGTACATATTGTTCACAATAAGCTTCTCTGCATTCTTATCTTAAAATGAACAAGCAATCATATTTCTGCTCCAGGGTCTTGGCTCTGTGTAAACGGTGGAGGCTCGGGGCTGTTTGATGTTGTTATGGCTGGCTGGCTGCCGCCTCAGTACAACTAGATCTGCAGGCCCCTCTCATGGCCAAAGGTATTGTGTTGGCTGCTCTTTTGATTATATTATCAACAGAGAGAGGGGGGGGGGGGGGGGGGGGGGAGAAAATTAAGACTCCCACTAGACATGAGTAAACAAATAAAAGTTTGTAGAGTCTGGTTCATCCAAAGAATGTCAGTCATCCAGACTTCTCTGAGGATATTAATATCCAGTGTTGGAATTATTAGGCTGAATATTGTTCGAGCTTGGTAAAACAATTTGCCTGTTCTCGGTCCGCAAGATTGAAGAGCATGAAGAATATTAAAGAGGAAAGGACACTTTGATAGTAGACAGCATACATATTGTGCTTTTAAATGGAAAAGTCCCTGCAAGTGAATGTAAATGCTAAATGGACTGTACTTGTATTTCTCTTTTCTAGTCTTCCGATCACTCAAAGCACTTTAACACTACATGTCATCATGCATTCATACACTGATGACAGGAGCTACCATGCAAGGTGCCACCTGCCCATGAGGACTAACTAACATTCATAACCATTCACACACCACATGCACAGCCTGCGGGAGCATGTGGTACATATACTGTAAGACAATAATGCACACAGTCATAGTTTTGTACATTTTCTGATGGTGGTGTTGGTCCACCATTTTGCTCCAGGCTGAAATATCCCCACAACTATTGGATGGATTGTTGTTGAATTTTGTACAGATATTCATGCTCCACAGAGGATGAATCCTTCTGACTTTGGTTAACTGTTCTCATTCCACATAGGGCCATCATCAAGTCAACTACACCATCAGCTTTAGTGTGTAGATGATGAACACGGTAAACATCATACCTGCTACACATCAGCATGTTGACATTTCCATCGTGAGCATGCTGACCTTAGCATGTCGGTTAGTCTTGTTATTTTTTTTCACATAGTAACCACCGATACCACCTGTAGCTGGAGGAAAACCTGGCACAAAATAACATGTTTTTTGGCGAAGTGCTCCATAACTCTTGGATTTTTGCCTCATATGAGTGGAGGCTCCATTTAGAGATTAGTCTTGTTGATCATCTCAGAACAATGCCTTCCTCTGTG